CGATGGAAACACTGTAAAGTTCGGTCTTTATCAGTGTCACGGGCGGAATAATTGAACGCGCTCGGAGTTAATCCGCTCACTGCAGGATACCCTCTATAATGATCGCAATATATTTCTTTCGTCTCGAGGCCTATGCCATACTATACATATATGATATATATATATATATATACATGCAGTTAAATGTATCATAATGTCACTGCGCTATGCGGAGAATAGCCGCATACAATAATATCGTATTCAACTGCAGTCGACGAAACCTTTTTTTTTGGGGGGTGTGGGGAGAGGAGTGGTTGGCCCCTGATATGTTTTTAACTGACCCCTAATGACATTTTTAGCATGTCCTGGGCAAAATCCACACTTTTGCGTAAAAAATCTTGTCATTGGTTCAGTAATGTAAAATATTAAATAATTCATAGTAATTATAATAAATTATATGACTTGTATATATTTTGTATATAATAATTAATATGTATTGATATTGTAACTGTATTTAGGCATATATATAAAGTTTTATTAACTTTTAACTTGTATAAAATATATTTCATTCTTAACAATTTATTTGTTAATGATACTTTTACTGTACATGGTTTATTTTCAAATTTGATTTTTATAGGACCTTTGAATACTTTTGAGCTGTTGTTCTCTCATTATCGGGGATGTGAGGTGGTTTTTCCATCATGTCTTATTGTGAATTCTGATTTTATGGGGCTTACTTTGGACGATAGCATCTGTACCTAACTATTACATCCTAGTTACACCCTCCCATATAATATACCGATTACTTATAAATTATAATATACTACCTTATTATATTTGTATCGTAAATATACGCAGAGATAAATACTAATTTCATACGACAAAATTGGCGGTAATTAAGTTGGTTCTTACGCCATCCTTACAATTGTCTCACACAATTTGGAGGAAGACCTTCTGCAGTATACTATAATATGTAATTTTATACAACGAGTTTGTGTCTATCGTCATCTCAGATCGGTAAGCATTCAGATGAAGATTAGTCAACCCCTCCTTCTCTCTATAAGGCGTATACATAACCAATTATTCAGGTTCTGATTTCGACTGGTACAATTAAAGATAGGATTAATAACTTTTTTTTCATAAATTATAATAATAAACCAAAACTTTATTCCTTTTTAGTTTTTTGTAATTGTATTAATTATACAGACGAAATTGAGTGTCAAGTATTGGTTTCTTAAGTGATTTATTTTATGATATATATAATTTTTAAAAATACATATTTTCCACATAACGTCAATTACATCTACTTACATCATCTCGTATTAAGGTATTTTTTTTTATATCCAAACCCACGCACGAGTCTTGCGCGTATGGCAAGTTCTACGGTATATCATATGCATCATAGGATAAACTATAAGATTGAAGTAAATGTGGGCGTATAATTTTGCGTCCTCTGCTTATAGGCATATCGATTGAAATATACGCAAAACCACCCTTAAGCTACTCACTTAGTTCCGACACTTAGCTCCGAGCTTAAACTTAAGCGTATAGATATTGAAATTCAAAGTGCCTGGTCTAAGTTTCCATTTATAATAATATATTAATATTACATGCTTACCTGAAACARATGTTGCCTAACCAGCTATTATATATTATTTACTACCACCACGAGTACCTCATGTACACAATTCCTTAACCAAGGTTATCCGCAGTTTATTATTTTCAATATTTTGGCATAATATTTTCGTCTTAAAGCATGTCATTCTTACCAAAGATCCAACAAGTTCCGTATATAATGAACTCGAAATAACACAGATGCAGCGGAAGATTATGACATTTATTGTTTTAAAACACAAAAATAATAATATTTATATTTTAATCGACTTACGAGATKCTCCGCTCTCCCGCGTTTTTTGACCAGTAAATTTTTTTTTTGAAATATTCTTCGGATTTTTAATCAAAGGTCGTGATGAGTCCTATACACTCATTCGCGAGGAATTTTTGCGGTCGCAAAGTTTTTGTCGTGTAGATTTATAATGTTGACTCTYATAAGATGATGTATAATTATTAATATAGATAAGCTCGTTTCGTATTCGCTTCGACACGGTATGGTGTTTTGGGCTCCCACTATAAATGCCCCGCGACCAAAACTAATTGTATCACGTATATGTGTCGGAGTGTGAGCTTATTTCTTAAGCAACGGTCTATCAACGAAAATAATATAATCTATTTTTCAAATCAGCCGCTATACACTGCAGCGAACCCGCTCTTCTGTACACAGTTACACGTTCATAGGTACACGTGATGTTCAAATGCGATGATATAATCATTATTGGCATTGCAGATTTATTCATTTTTCCCGGTAGGTACGTGTTATGAATTTAAAATACGAGATTTTACGTTAAACGCGTTACTCATCATCAGAATGTCCCTAATGCGAGTTTTATTGAAAACGCTCGATTTTAAAATGTGAGCAAACAAAAACATTGCCTATTATAAATTGTATTTAATACACGATGCTCTAAAATAATATTTACGTATAGAGTGAGTGTATAAACTTAAATGTTTGTACGCTCGTTATTATTATAACAACCTTATAGGCACATTGTATATAATATAGGTATCGCATTTTATTTTTAAGCTATACTGTCATTATCTAATAATATTACGAAGATATTATCATTGTTGTGAGATTATCTCGATTCGTCTGAGGGAGAATAGGGGCAAACGTAAGTGATTTTGATTAGAGAGTATATATCTATATTATAACTTTCCGGACAGTTGTCCGTCCAAGAAAGAACGCGTCTGCATATAGCAATATATGAGTTTCAATGTTATATAATCGAATTAGATAATTGGRCGGTGGTGTATATAATATTATATGAAGAATGGGTATAATTTATTAAACTCTGCATTCAGACATCCGCCGCCATTGGTCAACGGATCACTAACCGAAAGCGTTATATTCGTGGGGAGGGGGTTTCGGTCAGAGGGTGCGCTGCTTCGGCCGAAACTCGAGTGTGCCGCACTTGAACTGCAATTCTACACATCTGGTGTGGCCAAGAGGCTTGCCGCCGATCGGAAACCTTATGGCTTAAACAGTTAAACTACGCGACGTTAATATTATAACGACATGACGCGGACGCGTAGCTATATAAATACTGCCTATAATATTATAGCAGGCGCCCCCCCC